TGCCATAGAAATCAGTACACTAGGCAATTCCATAACTTTAGATCCCAGCTTCTGTGCCACCTCAGAAAGGGATGAATTAGGGACAGGGACCGATTCAATGGGCGTAACACCAGAATCGGTCAAACCAACATCCTTGCTATATTTTACTTCACGTGTGGTCGGACACATATGAAGCTTATCTTTGCCGTCATTTGCAGATGAAACATCACTAACAAGTGCAGTTCCAGAATCAGCTGAGTCCAAAGCTGCATCAATAGATCTATAATGTACATTGACTGTCCTATTTATCTCCACTCTGGTACCAACATCTTCAACAAAGCTATTCAACGGTTTGTTGTCCACTGCATTGTAGTCCCTAGATGTCACTTTCTGATAATTTCTTACCCCATCATCTTCTTTTAGTGACACAAATGGACACGAAAATTCAGAAGAATTTCTGATGGTAGAAGATGGATGTACTTCAGCATCATTAGAATGTCGTGATGAAGCATTAAATATATCAGATTTCCCATGCTCTGTTACGTCAAGCATTTCGTCTATCCTAGCATCCAAAGCTGTGTTTGCCACGCTCAAGCTAGTATCCAAACTTTTGAAATGTGTTCCATCCACCATAGGGCTCAAAGAAATTGTGGTCTCAGAAGGAAAATCCTCTATGATGGAAACACCATCAGGTGCCAAGCCAAATGAATCAGCATGCCCTAGCGAAGCATCTTGGGATGCTTCCTCCTCCAATATTGCTCCAGATAAGCTAGATACAGCAGGCGTTAAGTTACCTTCACATGGCTTAGTTGTTCCTCCTGAAAGATTCCTGTTTTCAGCTTTAAGGGAAGGCCACATCGAAGAAGCGGCCATATCAGTTGCTAAAAGAGTTTCAGTATTCTCAGTTTTAGTGTGCCCTTCCTGAAAAATAAGTTCTCTCTCAAATCTACCCTCGGTAATTTTTAACAAAGACAGGTTTGCTCCTTCAGGAGAAGATGCATCTAACTGCAAAGATTCAAAATATTCACCAGTCAAATAACAACAAATTGAAAAAGGAAATTAACTAAGAACACAAACCTGAAGATGCTCCTTGTTACTTTGCTTCTTCTGGGTTTCCTTCAAAGAATCAGATCTTTCAACAGGTTCTCTTTTCCTGCCATCAGGTCCAAATGGAATTAAGCCAGAGTCAGCAGCTGGTGATTCAGAGATCAATGGCTTTGTTGAGGGCACAGAAGCACCAGCAGTAGAGCTTGTGTTTGCGTTAGGCAATGAAACATCAGCTAACGGTTTGGAACCTGACTTAGGCTGCCGAGCAGGTCCATCTGGACTTGTCTCTTTGTTTCTTTGACAAGAATCAGTAGAATCTGCCATAGTCTTTACCGACTTAGGGGCTTTGCTAACAGGCATGCTAATTACCACTGGAGGTGCCAACAAGGATGCCCCAACTTTCTCACCTTCTGAACCGATGGATGGTTTGGCAGTTACATGAACTGTGGCGGGGAGGGAGGTGGAAACTGGTTTCTCTTCTGAGTTTATCCCTTTAGTAATGCAACACAGAGAGGATGAATGTGAAGGTTTGCCAACTGGAACATTGTTGGCCATGGTTGACTGCATGACAGGCAAGTTTTGCCCACTTTGACTGACAGAATAGCTATATCTTGGAGCTTGTGAGCTCATCGACACCTGCCCACTGGTCAGAGGAACAGAAGTAGTAGTAAAAATAAGTGTAGAAGGGCTATAAGAATTTTGCTGTATTTGGGGGTAATACATCTGAGGAGCAGCATTATACGTTGCAATAGCCTGAGCTTGTGGGATTACATTAGGAAGCAGCCTCTGCCCAGAGGTACCACCATCCTTGGAAGAATCAGTTTTTTTGTCAAGCCTCAACTCTTCATGAGTTTCTGGATGAGTTATTTTCACTGTGGTCCTACGAAGGCCACCAAATTTACCTGGCTGCTGTTGAGGAAATTGTGAAGTAATGCCCATTCCCAAGTTTCCTAATTGTTGGGGTAATTGATGAACAATTGAAGGGGGAAACCCTAAACCTTGTCCCTGATGCATCAGTGCCTGTTGTTGCACAAAATGAGGCTGGATGCCAGGAACATAAATTTGCTGTGCAACTTGGGGGACATTGGCCACAGGTAATGTCATCGTCATTTGCAGTGAATTGGCTGCGAGACCTGGTAGCATCTGTGGGCTAGGGCCACCAAGTTGAGGAGGAACTGGTGGTTGTTGAGGTTGAAATGACATAGACATGGGCAAAGGTATCCCAGAAACTGGAAGAACAGATGATTTTGGTGGGGGAACAACTGAGGCAGATGGGACTGGGATGCTTGTATCTCTCTTTGCTTGTGATACAGGATGTTGCTCCAGATTGCTAGACTGATGAGTACCACCACCTACCTTTTTAGTTTGTTGTTGTTGCTGCTGTATTGGAACAGAAGGTATAGGCAATGTTGGAGCAGCTCCAAAGGACTCAGCATGAGCCTGAGAAGTCAGCAAAGTAAAACATCAGTGTGACGATCAAACTCAAAGCAGCCAGGTTTCTATTGTTAAAACTAGAGGGTCATAAAAATTGCAAGTAAACTCTGTCAAAAAAGTAGAGGGGAAACACATTATGAGGTAGGAAAAGGCCATGCACCAGAGGGAGGGAAAACTGATACAGAAAACTCCGAACTACTCTTTTTTCTTTTGGGAAAATGAGAAATGGAAAACATAATTCGTAGTGCTAAAATATCCACAAACCTGGTCATGTTGTTCATCCAGATTTGGCGGAGCTGAGCTTGTCCGAGCAGGAATCTTTGATAATCATAATGCATTTACCAAGTATGAGCAGAACATCACAAGAAACACAGGGAAAAGAACCGACACCAAAAATAAAATTTCAGAAAAAAAATGCTACCTGCAATTCGTTCATGATGCCAGGATTTATTGAGCCAAACTGAAGAGTAAAGGTCTTAGATGCATCCCCTGAAAAGAGCATCACAAAATGAGAATACAATGAAAATTCTAGTTTTTTCTGGCAGAAATTGGCTCTTGCCGGTACGCAAGTAAAGTTCACAGAAGTTCATACTTACAGAGCAAGTCGTGAAAAAGAACATGTGACTAATCAAAATGGAATAGCATTGAACCTTTCGGAAGTGTCAAGGGTGTTGAAGAACTCGAAGCTCCAGTAGCAGACTGAGAAGATGGCGCCTTCGGGATAGCTCGGGATGCATTTCTGGGGGTCAGCACATCAATCGGTTTTGCACTGCCTGGGGCTGGTGCATCTGAAAATCCTACAAAGAACCGGCATCAGCAAAACTCTATGATTCCAGTTGGAAGAAAAATAATTACAAACAGATCACAATTAATACACAGGGATTCTAACAAATTAAGAAACTATTTCTAGGTTCTGGCTGCTACTGCTAAGGCTAGCAATGATCTTTGAAGAGGGGAATCAAAGAAAAAAAAAAGACAATTAATTTGGACAGTTTACCAGGAGAGGGAGCCGGGGCCTGAGCACCATTCTGAACAGCCCGATGGACAGTAATAGCCGGAGCAGCACCACTCGCTTCAGAACTCGCGGTTGTGGGATTTATCCTAGATTGACCCCCGTGTCCATTACCAGATTTCTTGAAGCTACAGAGACCGACAACGAAAGAAATCCTTTAGGAACCCTTTCTAAAACCATTCACGCATACGAGCAAAAACGCCAAGCCCCATCGGCGACAAATAGGATACCGATCAGAAAGAGAGAGAAGAGATGTCACCTTCGGTTCGTCGACAATGACGAAGGAGTAGCAGGGGATGCAGAGATGGGGATAGGAGGAGGGGCGGAGCCGCCGCCGCCGCCGCCGCCCCCGCCGCCAATGGAACTCCTCTGCTGGCCGGAGCTGCCCGGTCGACCGGGTTTCCTAAGCTGCCCCTGGATCCTCTCAGCCCTGGATTGATAGACGGACATAAATCCTGACCGCACTTCCTCGTCCAAATCTGAACGATCACAACCAAAAAAGAACCAAAGCGCCATCAAGCAACGAACAAACGATCGATACCACCAGATCAAACCCTAAAGATTCCACCTTCCTACGGCTTCCGCAAGTAATTCTATCAAGAAAGAAGCAAAAAAGAAGCGCTTTTTGCCTTGTCCTCCGAGCGACATAAAACATAAATGGAAGTGATCGGGGCACAGTGGTGGGGATCCAACCGCTCACCTGAGAGCTCAAGAGCGACGAAAGCGGGTGATTTAGGAAGATTGAGACTCCCCGTCAGTGGAATGCGATCGGAGCGGGAATCATTTAAAGCACAGCACAAGAAAGAGGAGGATAACAGAAAGAGGAGGATAAGAGAAGAGGAAGGAGTATGGAAACCAACCGAGAGAAGGAGATTAAGAAACAGGAGAGGCAGAGAGAAAGACGACGAGGGTAAATTGGGAATGGAGGAGGGGAAAGCAAGAAAGAAAGAGAAAAAAAAAAGAAGAAAAGAAATAATCACGAAGAAAGAGGAAGAGGGTTAAGATCAAAAGGAACGACGACGCATGGAGGTCAAACCCTAAGCGAAGTCGACCTCCCTGCGTCCGACCCAACTTTGATCGGATTGCCTGCCTCTTTAGAAGCCCATTACATTTGGGCCTTAAAGCCCACGAATTCTGGCTTGGTAAAATCTAAATTCAGAATCAAATCGATAAAGGGTTGATTTTGGAATCGAAATCCGAATCAACGATCTGATTCGGTTGCGGTTCGATCGGTTTTAATTTCGATTCGAATCTATTTATTTATATTAAAAATCAATTTATAATATGAAAAGTCATAATTTTATTTCTCAATTTTAAACAGTACCGAACAAAGATATTACCATTACTGTTGGCTTATCTATCCCTTTTTAAAACAGGTCTTTGTGTTGCTTTCGTTTCCTTTGAGAAGATCCCATTAAAGCCTTTTTATCGTTTCCGAGTGTCATAATCCAAGACTTTGGCAAAGCTCTTGTTGCTTTGATGAACTTCGCAATCAACTCGAGGGTCTCGGACGGCAGCGGAGAGCTCTGAACCTCGAGCTCAAACTCCCCACCATCATTCGGTAAAGATGCTGTGAAGCTGATGTGCTCATTTTTCAGGTAGAGGCTCTGCTTCTCAACCACCATCGATCCTGCAAGTTCCTGAACCTTCTCCGCGAAAAGGAACTAGATCGGCTCCCATTACTCGGGCGAAGATTTTATTTGGTTACTTTAACGAGGCCAACTCCGGTATGTTTCTAACCCTAGATTTTAGGAGTTCAGAAACTCCTCTTCAAATTCTGTGGTTTATGACTCCGAGGTGGGAGAAGTGTTTCCGGTTCCCGAGCACGGCCGCCGCTTGACGTGATTCGTGCTTTTGTTTCCTAACTTTCAAATTTCCCTGAAGCCCTTGCGATCAACCGGACCGCCTCCGGTCCGGTTCGCGTATAAAAGGAGAGTGGAAAAACCCTCAAGCCCACCTTCCCGCCGCCTCTGTTTCTCACGCAGCCGCGACCGATGCTGCGACTACTCACCGCGACTTCTCGCCTCCGTCTTCTCACCGTGACCGACGCTTGCCGCTACCGGCTACCGACGCTTGCCGCGACCTCGCTGCACACCGCCACGAACGATCTTTGTCCTAATCACATCTCAGGTGTGACTCTTCTCCTCTTCCTCTTCCTTACATTTGAAGGCCCTAAAGTGAGGAGGATCATGACCAGAAATGTTTTAAAAGGAACCTCTTCCTGTTCCTTACATTTGAAGGCCCTAAAGTGAGACTTAGGCATCACCTACGAGGAGGATCATGATCAGAAATGTTTGAATAGGAAATCAATCATGATTATTCGCCTCTTTGCCTTTTTGATTTATTTTATCGAGTGAATAATCTTGGAGAATTTTGCTCCAAGGGTAGCATGTAAGTCGCTCGAGAGCTTCCTGCTCGACCAAAGACTGCCTTGCAAAAATATTCAATTTCAAAATAGATAAATTTACTTGTCGGGTTCAGAAAAGTTTTTATAACGATTTTCATGTTTCCTTGATTTGAGAACTGGATTGGAAAGGCTTATTGGTTAAGTGTACTAGGATAACATACTCTAGTTCCGTTGAGAAGGCACATACAAATGCATATGGAAGGGGTACCTACGCCTTTGGTAAAATGCAACTGCTTTCTCAATTTGTGTGTTCAATATATGTATATACATATATGTATATATACATACATATATACATATGTGTATATATATATATATATATATACATATACATATATATGCATATATATACACATATATATACATACATATATATATGAACAGAACATGCATTGTAGTTTTTTTTTCAAATAATAAATTTGATCAGATATTGTGGGTTTATTAAGTAATCAATCTACTAAGATTAGCTTGTTTAGATTTTCAGACTAGTGGCTCTTTAAGAAAACCTGACTTTGTCATTCATATAAGGAAGTGTTTTAAACTAACTTATCTCGGTATGATACCAACTAGAACATATTTTCACCATTTATTAATGACAAATATGGGATTTGTTTTTCTTAGAGAAGTATTTTTATTATTATTATTTTCATGTTGTAGATATTGATTAGTTACTCCTTTTTGGTTCCGGTAGACAAAAGGAATGCGATAAGACTCATAGCGAACAAAGAGTTATGTAAAGGAGAAGAAATCAGAAAGAGGCTAAAGAAAAAAGAGAGAGAGAGAGAGAGATGGGATCAATTAAGAAAGGAGAGAGATGCTTAGTTAAGGGGAATGTGAGAAAATGTTCTTCAATTAATTTACCGATTAGATCTGGATGATTCAGAATAAGCATTGGGCTAGTTTAAATTGAGGCTGGTCTTACCATCTTTGTAGATGGGGACAGGACCCTATATGTAACCGAATCTGTGTGTAGACTGGGGCATGTCCTCTTTCATGACACAATATCATGTCATGCCAAAAAGGTACAGACATTCTCTCTGTGTCATGAAACATGAATCCTTGTTCTAATATTTGTTTGTTTTGGGCATTTACAAAGTTACAATAACCATAAAAACATGTTTTGTGATATTCTGAAGTAGGTGATTGGTCAACAAACAAAAGCACTTCCACTGTTGAATTTAGCGGTTTTACTTCAAGCACCAAGCATTAGCAAAGATTTACAAAATGATATTATGCTAGTTCACTCCTTTATGAATTATGATCAGCCAATCTTCATTACCTTGTCTACTCATTTGTCATTCTTGTCAAAGCATTTCTTACAATCATAATAGATAGCTTTCAGCAAGTTAACATAATATGTCGCTCATCTATTAACTTATTGAGTATTTATTGCTTACTTCTTAACTAAGCATTTGGTCAGAGTTGGTTTAACCATTGATAGAATCTTCCTTAAGAGTTGTGCTCTCTATTCCTCATATTTCAATCTAAAGATGCATGTAGTTGCTACTGTTATTCTTACTTCATTTATTTCATTGTTTCTTTGTTGTTAATGATCCTCAAAGGTGATTCTATTTACATTATCCTTTAATATTAAAGATAAATATATATACTGTGAACTATAAACTTAGTCAATATGTATGTTGCTTTGGTCAATGTCAACTTTGATTAAGTTCACCAACTATATTTTAGTTATGTTCCGTTAACCTTTTAATGCCTGAACAATTGTTCTTGTATTTTATGAACTCTAGGAGTTGCCTGTGGGAAGTTGGAAACTTCAAATTTTAAATTTCAACAATGGGGAGGTTATACGGTCTACCGTTGCCCAGCTGTCGCTCGTTTGTCTTCAGTGGCTAATAAAGAGAGCAGTCATCCTACAGGTTTTCTTCTTTGTAGTTTAACATTCTTTAAACTAATGTTTCAGTGTCTCATTTTAGGATAATAATTGACTGTATTTTGACCTAAACTGCATACATTAATCTATTAGGAATTTCACCTATGCTTCTCTACTTCGATGAAGAGACACCTTGAATATAAATAGAAGAGAAGAATGTGTTTATTGTTGGAAAATGGAAATGTTGTTCAAAATGATGACAAAACAGCGCTGCTATCGTTGTTTATATTTGTCTTTGATTTTCTTGTTATTTTCATTGAAAAAGAGATTAAATTGCTCTTAGAATAGCTGAAACCGAAGGCCTGTATTTGTGTTCTAGGACAGAAACTTCCATATTTTGGGAAACAATCCTTGGATGTTGTTGACACCTAACAGGTGCAGCAGGAGTCAGTGATGCAGAAAAGGGTCACTGGAGCTGAACAGAATTTACTGAACATTGTTTTATTCTGGACATGGGCCACCAACCCTTTGCTGCTATAACCTCTGCTGCAATATTGCTATAACTGATCCTCCTCCAAAAAGATCATCTTGCGACTTACTCCATGTGGTCTCCTCAGATGAGCCATCGCTTCATTTAACAAGATGCTTACTTGTAGGCTTCCGCCATCTAGATGACATCATTTATCCAAAATCTCCAAAAAAAGTCTTGAATGTAAAATCACTGGAACCTCATGCTCTCCATGGTATGGAATTTGTCTCAATACATGGTTTTTTGTCAGGAGACCAATGATACAAAGAGAACAAGATGTAATGTTCCAAATAGATGAATGTTTTTTTTATTATCTCTATGCAAATTAATATCTTTTGCTATGATCATTTAGATTTCTATTGCTTCTGCTCACACCACTAATAGTGATTAACTCACTGTCTATCCTTAATTTTTATAGTGCTCCTTTTTGAATATGGTCATACCATCCTAAGATTTTTTTTTCGATTCTCTATCGGTAGATTTGGTGCTACACTTAATTGTTTATGAATGAAAACATATTTATATCTATATATCCTAGCATCACCTGTTATCCACCTTGACATTCTCATCCTCTAGATGTTATTTCTTAGTACCTCAACATTTAATTCCATAAAGTGTGGCTTAACGGTTATTTTATAATATTGTCTGATTTGCTAGAGTTGCCTTGAAGTCCTGAGTTCTTATCCATTTTCTCTCTCTTCAAAACTTTCTTGACATAATGTATTCTAATTTTATGAACAAATCTCTTATTTCAAAACTCACAACTATTATTTTAATCTATGAAATATTCGTTGATATAAACTAATTGCAGCTTTCATAATCTCCATATTATTAACAACTTCCAACTTTTTGGATTTCCTCATACCACCATTAAGTCTCTGTTTAGGCTACACAGCTACCTTTAGCTCTCTTAAAATCTCCTTTGCCATGCTATCATAGTAGCTGTTAAAGTCCATATGGAATTAATATAATTTCCATCCAAGTTCAAAGCAACTTCTTTTTCCATCTTATTTTAGAAAAAATTGATTATTTTTTATATAAGTTCCTTCACTTAGTTTTGATAAAAAAATACTACTTTTCCATTTTATAAAAAATATGATCGGTCTATGTTGATTAATCAAACTTTCTCTAGGTATATACATATAATCAAACTTTTCTATTTCGAATATATCTGTTTGATTACCATTATGTTTACTTTTATAAGTAATCAAATGATCATCTCTTTTCTTGAAATGAAAAGGTATAAGATTATTAGAAATAGCAAAATCTTAAACTGTATCTGTGTTTCTATGACAATATTTATGATCCCTATGTAACCTCTCGTTATTCACTAACTGTAGAATCTTGTTCAAGTTTTTACAATGGTGCACTTACAAGTAATTGTAGGATAGTTATAAATTATTTGAACTTTTTTTTGTCTGATCATCTAGCGTAAGCACTTTGTATCTCTTCTCTTAACAAAAATTTTATCCCCAACTCTGCACATCTACAGCATCATGTTTCTTATAATATGTTTCCTTCTTTTGCAACTTGTCATAAAGAGATTTGTAAAACAGATCTGAACTCTTTATCACAACATGTCTTCATATTTATTTGATAAATTATCTAGCTTCATTGACATAGTAATACAAAGGTCACTGTCATATCTGTTCTAATCCCTAGGGATCCATTGAGTTAACTTTCAATGTTTATTGCAGAGGCTGTAGAGGAGTTATATCAGAAAATGCTCAAATCTGTTGAAGCTCAAACCATGCCTCCAAATGCTTGGTTGTGGTCTCTAATCAGCAACTGTTTGAACCGAGAGGACATAAAGCTTCTTTTCCAGATATTGCAGAAACTTCGAATATTTGTTAGTTCTATGAATTCTTGGATAAATTCAATATATGCTTGCTCTTATTCTTCTCTTTCATTCCCTCTTTGTTTCTGTGCTTTTGGATACACTTGGTCACCTTTTTTCTAGAATTGGATATGTATAAATATGTGCTTAAGTTGGTTATTGGCACTCTAGAAATTTAAACAAGAAAAATTAGTATTTGACTATTCAGGTTGATTGACACACCTGAATATAGTAAAAGAGTCATGACAAACCCGATAGGAGCCAGTGTGTTTGAGGACAAGGAGATCCATAGAGTTCCTTGACCAAGTCAAGTTGCTACAGTGTTTGATGGAATTGAGTTTGGGCAGGAGCTTCGAACACTATGACTGAGTCAAATCTGTCTATCAGTTGCATTCCCCGAGGGGGCGTGGGGTGAAATCTTCGACTTCTAACCCCCCTCCCCCAATGAAGGGGGCAGGTGGGTGACATATAATTTTGAAGTCACTGGTTGTTTGAGGGCAATGAGATCATCAGATCTCCTTGATCAACTCCGTGTTTGGCCCTGAAAATAGTAAAACAGTCTGGGGTAGTATCTTCTCTCACAGACCTGATGTGTGTGGATCCCATGCATCATGTTTATGAGAGACCACATCAACCCTAGCAATTCCTCAGGTGGTTCAGTCCACCTAAACATCAATTTTCTTATATAAAAAAATAAATCATGAAGAATTAGCTTCTTGTTGTCCACAAATGGAGATATAATATGGATGAACTCTTATAGATTAAAAAAATTTTGGTATGTGATGTACATACTAATGGTTTCATGGTGATGATTTTGGTACTGGATATGAGAAGAAAGAAATGAAACCTGGGATAAAAGGAAAAAGACTTAGTTGAGTCCAGTTAGAAGGTTTAGGAGTTGACATTTTTTAAACAATGCTGGTGGTAGGATTTATGGTTGAGTAATTGTTTTCTTTAATTGGTTATGCATAATAAGTTAACTGATGATATTATAGTGGAAAGTGGCTATTTAAACTTGCCCTAGAATCATGCAGGAAATTTGTCCTGAGTTCACTAAAAACATTAATGTTCATAATGTACCTACAGTGATCGATGCATACATGCTGATGTATATATGGTTTGAAACTCAGAAAATAATATACATTGTGTATGGTAAAATTAATTGTATGTGGTAAAATATTTTGGATGCAGAGGCTATCCAACCTTCGTATACATTCAAATTTCAACTCTCATCTTTGTATGAGAGTTTCTGAGGCGTGCACTCGTGCAGATGCCCTTGACTATGGTATGTAGCTCTTTATATGAACTTGTACATGTTTTTTGTTTAGTCATAATTGTCTGATTTACTACTTTAAAGATATTACAGTCAAGTTTAGTTTCCCTGAAGTCTACTGATTGATTTCAAGAGACTTATTGTATACGGTGAGGATTAATTTCATGTTCTTAAGTTTTTGATTGTCTAGTTGACGTAAATAAGTTTTTCAAGCTTAAAGTCATATCTGCAATCAGAATATCTTGTTTTCTCTTTGCTACTTTTTTTGCAAATAATAACTATTACTTCTTTGGGAAAGAATCTAGAACAGTTTTGTGTGTCAAAGAGAGAGAAAAAAAAACAGAGGACCATAGTAAGCTTGCTAGTTTTTTCTTTAAAATATCGCAAACTACAATTTCAGAAATATACACCTCGTCATGTAGGGCCCTTGACTATGGTATGCGGCTTTTATGAACTTGCACATGTATTTTGTTGAGTTGTAATTTGTCTAATCTTACTTTAAAGATATTTCAGTCAGGTTTTTTTTTTTTTTTTTAAAT